GTAGCTAAAGCTGGTCTACCGTCTAGCAAGGGCCTAACAATTCTGAGTTCAATGACGAGTTGCAGTGCTTAGTTCTTTGGCGAAACACCTGGCTAGACCAGATTTAGACCATGGAAAATGAAGGAAAGAATAGGTACAGTTGAGTACTGTACACTTACTGTAGTTGAATGAACTTGGTAGCTACTGTCCTGTATTTGAACTTTATATTGTATACTTAGGTTTTATTTGTATCCAGCGCATATTACAGGAATAGTATCTATGTGTTGTAGAGCCGAGTAAGCTAATTTCTTTTTCTCAACAGATTTAAAAAGTGATAATTAGCAACATGTCAGGTTTCATGCATCAAATCCCATCAAAGAGGCCTACCAATATTCAGTTTCGTACCTACAGTACCAATGAAATACTTGGGTTGAGTGTTAAAGAAATTGTGAACCCAAGGACATTTGATGACCTAGGTCATGCAACTGCTGGTGGTCTTCATGACCTTTCTCTAGGTAGGTCAAATATCACACGATGTATGAGCACGCTGCCTCTAAATATCTAATAATAATGTTATCTGGTTATTTATTATTTAATGTTAAATGTTTAATGTAAAATTTGCAAGAGCCAGTCTATATTTACACACAACGATATACAGTACTTTTTACATGAGATGGAGTTGCATAAATTATAACCCACAATTAGCATATAATAGTAAAGAAAAATTTAGTAACTGACTGATCCGGCAATTTGCACATTTTACCAGAAGGCAGCCATTTGCAACAATTTATATAATTTGCCTGTGTAACTGAATTGTCAATGTATTGTGTTTGTAAATATTTATGGTTGATTAATCTTAGATATTTTATTTCTTTTTCTCTAAAGGCCCTAGTAGTGATAGAGAGTTATGTGCAACATGTTGCCTTGGTTACCTTCATTGCCCAGGCCACATGGGTCATATCAGTCTTCCACTACCAGTTTTTAATCCACTGTTTTTTAAAACAATTGTACAAGTAAGTTGAAAAACAAATACAATGAGAAAGAATTGCAATTAAATACTTAAGATTTGTAAATTTCCTAATATTTGTAAGTTGTTGCTTGATAGTAATGCTCCTATGGCTATTATCCAAATTTCTTCATAAAAAATAACAACATCCCCAAACATCTTATTAAAAACAATCTGTCCTTGACTATCCAGTGTGCTAGAGTGTTAGACCATCTAGAAGTACAGTAAGTGTTTTTTACACATTCATCATTTTTAATTGATAAAGTTAATATGATGGCAGTTCATTTATCATATACCAGAAGCAGTAAAAAAAATGATTGATTCATTAAAATTCTATATCAATTATTTTGGTTTACCCTAGACTAAGGAAGATGCATTTTGTCCAATCAAAAACTGATTAAAAATTTATAATGACTCTTTTTTATTTGTTTATAATGATAAAATTCAAAATTGTTATTGGGTAATTTTAGCTATTGCGAGGATCGTGCTTACAATGCCATCATCTGCTAGCGAGTCGCTGGTCCCTGGTCCTGATCACCTACCAGCTGGATTGCCTTGAGAAAGGCTTCATTCATGCTGTTGAGGAAATGCGCAACATAGCCAACAACTTCGCAATGGATCACAGTGGCAATGACCCTAGCACTGTACAACTTCTTGAGTCAATGTTGAGGCAGCACATGGAAGAACTGAAACAGAGTGAGTCAAATGTCTTTTAAGCGGTAGCTAGTCAATTTAAGAATTATTTATTATTGTGATATCTCATTACAAGATCATTGTGCAAAACACTTTACGTACATTCGGGAGTCTTTACTTTCTTAAAGAGATAACATAATGCATCAATCATGTTTATTGAGTCTGTTCAATTTTTTTTAGAAAAAGAAACAGAAAATTGCTTTGAATCAGTGAATACAAATCTGCGGAATCTTGTAGCAATACGGAAGAATCTTCTGGACACATTTATTAAAGACCACATTAGTTCACGCGGCCGAAAGTGCAATCTCTGTGGCACAACAGTACGCCAGATTCGACCAGAACACAATGTGCGCATCATCACAAAGCAGCAGAGATCTGATAGTAGCAAGTTGGAACAAGTTTTCCTGTCCCCTTCTGAAGCCAGGGATCATCTCAGAAAATTATTGGCTTATGAAGGTATTTGCAGAAGGGTAATAATCCCTGTTGTATAAAAATATTAAAATTTCAATGCTAATTGGTACATACAGAAGGATTTCATCCTCTATGTAAATTTGTGGAATGACTTTCATGTGTATTAGTGAAATATATTGAAAGAGAACAAAATGTGACATGGTATTATTTATTTGGGTCCATACTGTAAACCAGCCTTTCATTGTTCTATATTAGTTTATTTTTTGTTATATACACGATAGCTAGAGCTATAATAATTTTTTATCTTTTCAGAAAAAGTTTTAAAAAGTTTATTTGGTGTCCTGAAGAGTAATAATAATGTAAATGCAGACAATGGTGAGAGTGCTGTGGACTTATTTTTTCTTGATGTCATTCCAGTTGTACCAACAAAATTCAGACCGGTAAGACTATCCTATGATATAACATCCAGTTCTTAATGATAATCCAGTTCTTGATTCCTTTCTGAATCAGCCAGTAGAATGTTGCTTCATGTTAATTTCTCAGAAGAACCACTTGTGATTGTTGGTTTTTCACTGCCATGTATTATGTGATTTCCAATGCTTTTATGTAGTAGAATACATGGGTTTTACAATTGTCAACATTTATAAACATTTTGGTTCATAGATATCTTCTGCTGGGGAAAAGCGTTTTGAAAATCCACAAACAGCTGGTCTGACTAAAGTATTGAGGGATAGTCAAACCCTAGCACAGCTGCTCTTCTTTAATCAGAATGAGCACAATGAAGCCCTACTGAAGGACTTTGATAAGGTTGGTTAAATTGTTATTTTCTAACCTTTGATTGATTGATTGATTGTTTGATGTGATTATGGATATTTTAACTTGAAATCATTAAATAGTATAATGCTTAATAGCAAATATGTACAGTAATGTTATGGGAAACTTAAATTTGTACTGCTGAACAAATATCCAAACTATTACCAGGAGATTATTTATAGGTAATAACCCAAGATTTACATTATGATACTCACTGAATTTTCAAAAGAGCCTGTAATGGATTTTTATGTAAATACCTGCATTACATAAGTTAAGATACAATGACCTCATCAATGAAGTTGATCTAATGATTCTTACAGAGCATATTGGCATCTGTGCCTGGAAAGAGCAATACAGAGAAACTACAGAATGCTTGGAGTATGCTGCAAACCAGAGTGAACTGTCTAGTTGATAGCGATATGGATAAACTATCAACTGATAATTTACCAGGAGTTAAACAGGTAAGTAACACAATCTTTGCCATGCATTAGTAAGGTTAAGGTGTTTACCAAATAGATGTAGTACTTATATAACATTAACCAACAATAAACCAACAGAACACATGTTCCTACATTAGTACAAGGCCAACAAATAGATACATTAACGGTGTTATCCAAACAAAATAATACTATATATTACCACATGGTGTTTCATACAAAACATCAGTAAGAGTATTTACTTTTTGAATGTGAACCAAAATGTATTCCTTTTATGGCTCCATCCTCACTGTCAAATTTTATGTGTCAAATAAATGTGATATGCCCATATTTGGGTGTAATGTGACATCATCATGCCCATTTATGGGCACATCACGTAAATTCGACACATAAGTAAAATTTGATTGCGTAGCAAGCAATAGTTATTTTTACAATTTGTTATTCACACACTTGATCCGAAATCCAAAACCTGAATTTTGTAATAGCCTAAGCTTAGCTGCATAGACTGTTGTAACTATGGCTTGGTAGGTATGACTTTGGTGTACTGGGTTTAACCTGATCATTCTATGTCTGAATTTTGCATAAAATGTGTCTATATTTATTTATACAGATCCTTGAGAAGAAAGAAGGACTATTTCGCAAGCATATGATGGGGAAGCGTGTCAACTATGCCGCACGCTCTGTCATCTCACCGGATCCTTTCATAAACTCTGATGAAATCGGCATACCAGATATCATTGCTAAGAAGTTAACATATCCGCAGCCTGTGACAGAATGGAACGCTCAAGAGTTGCGTCGCGCCATCATGAATGGACCCAACAAACATCCAGGGTGTCTATATTTATTTATCTTTTTCCATTCTTGTTTTTGAAACAATAGTTGCAGCAACATACACTTCAGTAGATAAACCTTTTTGATGTTGGAATTTTTCCTCCTCTGTTTGCCCCATTACTTTGTTGTTTTGTTTTTTTTTGCACCTATGTAGTTAAACAATTTTTTTTTATTTTAAAAATTGGATTAAATAAAACTATAATTTTATAATTACTAGTGCAATAATTATAATATGATTATTAATATCAGTACTAAACATTAAAATTATTATTGTTAATGCTATAAAAACTATTATTGCAAAGCTCAATTCTCATTAAAATAGAGCATTGTTGATTGAAAATGAAGATGGTACTCAGATGAAACTAAAAGCAGACAACAAGACTCAGCGAGAAGCCATTGCAAAGCAGCTTCTTACACCACAAAATCCGCGACATGCAGTTACAGGACAGAAACGAGTTCATAGACACATCAAGAATGGGGACGTGCTGCTGCTGAATCGACAACCGACGTTGCATAAGCCGAGTATCATGGCGCACAAGGTACTTTAAATGAATGATAGGGAGTTATCGCTACACGACATTAACCTTAACGTTAACGGATGACGTCATAATTTATTCTTCTTGCGTTGCGGAGTATGTTATTTTCAGGATTTTACGTGCTCGACGGACGTTAGTTACGGGTTTGCGCATGCGTATTTCGATTTGTTTACAAAAGGGGTGGAGTTATCGCGTTGCATGTTGGGTACTAATGTTAAAGTTAAGGTTAAGGTTGTACAGCAAAAACTACCTATTAATAGTACAGCACTCATAAGACTAATTATAATGATAGTGATAATAAAAGTAATAATAATGATAGTAATGTAGAAAAATTACATATTTTTTAAAATCTATTCCTTGCTTTCTTTATATTGTAATTCTTTATGTTTTTTGCTCACAGGTACGTATATTGCCACGGGAAAAGACATTCCGACTTCATTATTCTGCATGCAAGACTTACAATGCTGATTTTGATGGCGACGAGATGAATGCGCATTTTCCTCAAAATGAGATTGGACGTTCTGAGGCATATAACATTGGTAAGAAATGTTTTATTTTTCCTTTCTACTAGAAATACTAGCTTCAGTATACTACAAATATTACACTGTTAAAACACTGTTAAAAAGATTTATACTATACTCAAAACCAGATAAACCTACAAAAATATTCTTATATTTTTGAATAGTGGACTATATTAAAGGTATATTGGCATTATCGGTTTACCCTTTAAATATCTTACTCAATTTCCAATATTAGTGTTTTATGTTGTAACTTATACTGTTAAATAGTTAGGTGCATTTAATTAATGAAATAGATACCATTTTGTTTCTCTGATTTTTATTTTAATCTAGGTAGTATAATAGATATTTTTTAAATATTATTGTAAAGCACTGGTGACAAAAATTAGTTTTTAACCTGTTCTATAGAAATCACAAAAATCAATCTATTCAACTTACAGCTATCACCAGTCAGCAGTACTTAGTTCCAAAGGATGGCACGCCACTCGGTGGTCTCATCCAAGATCACATGATTGCAGGAGTAAAAATGACTGTTAGAGGGCGCTTTTACACAAGGTGAAAAAAATTATTTCTATGTCTTGTTTGCTAAAATATCAGACAAGCTTGGACCCCGTCGTCTTAAAAATATTAATTTACTGATCCAAACAAAGTTTGTAATGATTACTAATCCCTAATATTGTGGTCTCAATGCACATGTTGTCGAATGTTGTTTTGTTTATACCATCCCTGCTACAAGCATGTTGCTTTTTAGCTGATGCCACCATGTTCCTTGTTTTTTTGTTTGTTTTTTTTAATGGAAATGGAAATAAATGTTCTGAAAATCTGAATTAAAATAAAATCTGAATTTTGGGCCATCTTAAACCATAAAACATTTCCCCATGAATTATATTCTGGGACCCCCACCGAGGTTTTCAGCTGCCCCTTGGATTAGACCACCGGCCAGACGTGTCGGACTCCCTGTCAGCAAATTTCTTTTATAACTTTTTTTTATGAGACCATACATGAAATTTTCTTACAGAGACCAGTACCAGCAATTGATTTTCAATGCCATGACTGACAAGAGGGGTCATGTGAAATTGCTTCCACCAGCGATCATAAAACCAAAAGAACTTTGGTCTGGCAAACAAGTATTCTCCACGCTCCTCCTCAATGTCATCCCTGAAGACAAGCCATTGTTCAACTTTATAGGGCGCTCTAAGATTGCTAGTAAGGTAGGTTAAATGCAGCAGCATTTTCCTTGTGTATAAAATTTTCATTATTTTTAGGAAAATTATTACTTTGTAACCATAAATAAAATTTATGAATGCAGTTGAATGATAATTAAGAGGAATGTACACACTGATACAGATTACCATTGTATTAAAAATGTGCATATAACATATACTGTATGTCACATCTAGAAATTAGACATATGGAAAACATTTTTAATACAAAGTAGAGAAGGGACTCACTATGGAGGGATACTGGGGTGTTGGTCATAGATCTTCCAGTCCAGTCTACAGGTTGTTTGTGATTGCATTATTGTTATTCAGATGGAGGGTACCCTATACATCAATGCATAGTGACAAACACACCACAAACTAGACTGATAAATACTAATTAATATGGATAATTACATAATATATATCAAATTTTTGTTTAGACGTGGCAAAGGGAAGATCCTCGTGTGCCGAGAGGAGGGGGAGGTACGCCACTGAAAGGGGATAACATGACAGAATCTCAGGTTGTTTTCAGGCAGGGTGAGCTTCTGGTGGGTGTGTTAGACAAAGCAAACTATGGTAGTACTCAATACGGGCTCGTGCATGCCTGCTACGAGGTAAGTCTTCAATTCAACACAAAATAATGACAAGATACTGTTAATAGTTTTTATGTTTACATTTATTAAGAAAATAATATTTATAATATTCACATCAAATATATCGTATATCCATTCCCATGGTCTTTGGTTCAAACCTTGCAAGTAAAAATTTTTTATTTAAAACCCTATTCTAAAGTTTGAATGTTCCAAAGTACAATTACTGCCAACCACTCCGAGTTTGAAAGTTAATTTCTATTTGAGAATTTAAAAGAGAGATTTATATTGGTTTAATTATACTGTATATGTATTTGTTTACTAATTAATATTCCTTATGTTGTTTTTTTTAGTTGTATGGTGGTCAGACGGCAGTTCTTATTCTTAGCTGTCTTGGTCGCTTATTTACTACATTTCTACAGTACATTGCTGGGTTCAGTCTAGGTGTTGAGGACATTCTTGTAAAACCAAAGGTAAGGCATTATTATTGGAATGATCATCTCGGACTTAGCAATTTTACACTTTTAAGGCTTTAAAAGTGACTTGTGTGTAGAACACTGAGGTGCCAAATATCAGCTCTCAACTCCCCAAACCTCATAAAGAGACTGTTGTGGAGCATTGAGGGTCCCAAATAATCAAGCTTCAACTCTCCAAGCCCTAAAAAGCATTGAGGGTCCCAACAACCAGTTCTCTCGCTGTAGAACATTGAGGGTCAAATGAATAGTATTGCTGGACAGATTGCCCTTTTTGAATTTTGTATGAATGAAGATTGTGTTGAGAGAACAGGTTTAAAAAATAATAGAAACTTACTTACTTGATACATCATGGTTTTTAAATTTTAAACTTAGTTACTTTTGGTGCATTAATTACTTATTACTTCTGAAATTTAATTCTAATTGTTGAAAAAAAAACCATTTTTTGTATCATTATTATCATCAAAAGTGTGATCTGGATAATTTAAACTCAAAAAAAAAAAGAAAAAAAAAGACAAATCATGTGAGAGTCCTCAGGTTTTTATTGTGAGGATTTTTGAAGGTTTAACGAGAGTAATTCAATCTCTCTACAATTTGTCATGTAATCATGTTTTTAAGGCTGATAAAAAAAGAAGGAAATCGATGAGAAAAGCTAATAAATCTGGTTTGGGAATAATGGCAAAAACTCTTCAAGTTGATGACCCAAGTGATGTTGAAGCCATCAATGACAAGTATGAAACAGCCCACAGGTGAGATCCATATCTTAAATATTAGAAACATTTTGTATTGTGTCATCATATTTATCAAAGGTGAAGCCAGATCAATGCTAGTTTTCTTAGACTTAGTTAAATGTTTCACTCTATATCTTGTTAACAAAGAAGTAATTTTATTTTTGTACATACAATTGACAATTTATGAAAATGACTGAATACATTTGATAGGCCTATTACCATTCAAAATAGCCATAATTAACAACATAAGAATACCAATTTTGTGAATACTTACCAAAAATGAACCAGTGTATACCAGTTTCCAATAATGGAATCATCCGACCCAGGTGTATATAATAATGATGTTATGTATCAGGCCTCAATTTTCTTCTTTTTTTTGGTGGTTATATTAGGTCATCAGATGGATTACAAATGGCAGAGATTGATATGCAAATGAAAACAAACACTGACACATTCACAAATGAAGTTTCCAAAATCTGTTTGGGTCAAGGATTAATTAAGAGTTTCCCAGACAACAACTTACAACTGATGGTGCAGTCTGGAGCAAAAGGTTCAATGGCAAGTGTTTTCCCCTCTCAATAACTATATTTTCTGATATTTCCATTATTACAAGTGTTAATTACATCATTTCCATTGATTTTCATATTTCTTTTAACTGATTTTATTTTATATTTTTACCCAGGTCAACTGTATGCAGATTTCTTGTATGCTTGGGCAAATTGAGCTAGAAGGAAGACGACCACCCCTCATGCTAAGTGGAAGGTCACTGCCGTCATTCCAACCCTATGAATCATGTCCACGGTCTGGGGGATATGTAGATGGTCGTTTTCTAACTGGCATTCGGCCGCAGGAGTATTTTTTCCATTGCATGGCTGGAAGAGAAGTAAGCCCAATCACAATCTACTGCCCTCTGTTGTCATCTTAAAACTAATTGCATATGTTTAGAAAGGATTAATTAAATTACAGTATATGTAAATACTAAGAAAAAATTGTGCATAATTAGCCGTTTTATCATTATAAATCATCATCAGTTTACATTATTCATATGCTTTGAAAGACTAGCTTTCTTGAATCAGTTAATTGATTCCTATATTTTAATACTTGCATTGGTCACTTGTGTAATTTTTTGGCTACTTTCTTGGCTCCAGGGTCTGGTGGATACAGCCGTTAAAACCAGTCGTAGTGGATATCTACAGCGTTGCATTATAAAGCATTTGGAGGGGCTGCTTGTGAATTATGACCTTACAGTAAGTCATAAGTCAATTTATGTAATCATACTTGATCAATCGCTTACTTGCAAGATAGGCATCGTAGAAGATAGGCATTGTAGGAGCGTGTGGCTCAGCGTGTAAGGTGTTGGACTTCTGATTGTGAGATCGGGAGTTCAAGACCAACGCTCATCGCATTGCTTGTGTCCTTGGGCAAGACACTTTACTTACATTTGCCTCTCTCCACCCAGGAGTACAAATGGGTACCTGGTAGGATGGTATGGCGTTGAATCTAAGGGACGTGCACGTTCAAGCAGCAGTGACAAAGGATACTCCCCAGGGAGCAGAGAAAGTTGCACAATGTGCGGATCTGCCAATTCAGTATCCAGTGATATCCAGGGATATATGATGCCAGCGCCTTGTATGATCGCCTTCGGATTGTGAA